CCCCCTTTTTTTTTTTTTTTTCTGTTTTTTTTATAAATATATATATACAGGTAAACGTTACTTTTTCTGCCTGTGTAGCTATATATGGTTATTGCTGTTGTTTTTGTGAATATTCTTGTTGAATATTATTAATATTATTATTATTATTATTATATCCTGTTTTGGGCTGCAATTTAATTGAGCGCTTTTCTGTACTTGTCCATAGCTTTTTCTCCTCTTTTTTTTTTTTTTTTATTTAAACAAAAAACAAAAATAATGCTACTTGCTGCCTGTTTATAACTGTGAGATTTTTTTGGAAGCCAGAAATGAAGAAAAGGCAGAAACATACGTGCAATAGAACAAGTTGACCCCCCCTGTTACCAGAGCGTCCGAGCCCTCCCTCCCCCCCTCTCTGTCATGCTTATGACTGGCTGCTCTGGATGCCTCTCTGTCAAACCCTGTAACTGATAGGAGGCACTGACTCGGACTGTTGAAACCGCAGGTCTCTGTAGATACACAACAAAGTGGGGAAAGACAACAAACAGCACAAATGAGATCAAGACACATTTTGGAAACCGATACCAACATTTATGACACGCTTACTAGCCTGAAATTTTAGCCAGAGTTCACTTTTTACAGCGTCCACGTTCTCTTGATATTGGTGAATAATTTGCTGATACAAACAGGCAGTAAGAGAAGCGTAAGCGTTCTCTACTGTAAACCAAACTTAAGCCAGATTTTGCCTGTTTTAACAGGAGGTATTGGCCAGATATTGACATGAATATAACCTATGCTCTCTATTTGCACTTTCAGCTAGAGTTCACTTTTGACAAACAACAACAGCAAACAGACCAGAACAAGAGTCAAAAGCATTCTTCTGCACACCATACCTAACTTAAATTTTGCCGGTGTTTACAGGGATTTCTGAATTCTTCTTGTTATTATTATTGGATATTTTCACACTAAAAGTCCCTGTTTGCTGCTATTTTTGTGATTTTCTAAATTCTGACCTGTTATGCCAGAAAAATGAGGGAGAATTAATTCTCTTGTTTCCTGCATTGGAAAAGTATCTCAAATTGTTCAGGTCGTTGTGACACCGACACGCTCCATTGATAATTTGTCTCTGTGGGTCAACAGTTAAAGACGGGCAATGTGAAACAGCTTACTAATGCATAGGGAAATACATACAAATTATAATAATAATAATAATAATAAAAATAAGGATTTGACTCTGTAGTGGCGGTAAGGACTGCCTGGCTGTTGTTTTTTCTTTCAAGGCTCTATATTTTCATCTGTCTAACCCCGACGTGTATCTATGGTTGACTCTTTCTTTCTGTTTACCTTGTTGCTGATAGCAGGCACTGAATTGGACTATAGAAACGGCATGTTTTGATCCGTCTATCTCGACATATCTCTATGTTAAGCCCTTCGGCCTGGAGCCAGCTTCTGTTGCCATAGCAACAAATGGGTTAAAGGGTTATTTTCCTTTAAAGGATAAACCACAGTGGGGGAGTCGAGGGGGAGCCGGGAGGGGGGTGAAAATAGCTCCAATTACCAGTTACTCCACAAGTTAAACCTGGGTCTATGCACAGACTGTTTATGTGTGTGTCTGTGTGTG